TTTGTTTTTTTTTGATAGGTGCCATCCTAATGGCTACTTGAAATATGTATTTTAAATTTTAGTTTATAATTAAATGTCATTGTATAGGCAAACACATAGCACTTAACACTAAGTTTTTTTCAAATTTTTAAAAAATATTTATTTTTGAGAGAGAGAGAGAGAGAGAGAGAGAGAGAGAGAGAGCAAGCTGGGGAGGGCAGAGAGAGAGAGGGAAACACAGAATCCAAAGCAGGCTCCAGGCTCTGAGCTGTATGCACAGAACCTGATGCAGGATGAGATCATGACCTGAGCCAAAGTCAGGCACTTAACTGACCACCTGGGTGCCCGTAAGTCTTTTTAATAAGTAACAAGTATGACCTTAATTGACTCTTTGATATGAACTGGGATGGGAGCACCGAAAATGTTGAGGAGACCATTGTTACTATAGTACTTCTAAAAATTATGTCTAAAAAATAATAATAAATAAAAACTGTAAGTCTAACTGTATAGATTTATTTACCCCCCCCCCCCAAAGTCATGGACAAGGTAGTGCATGGCAGTACTTGATGTAAGTTGGTAGACTTGATCTATCAAGTTATTGTTGGATATATTATAGAGTTTACATATAGAGCAGGGGTCAGCAGCATTTCCCTGTAAAGGTAGTAAATACTTTAAGCTTTCTTGGTTCTAAGCCTTTGTCTCAACCACTCACCTCTGCTGTTGTCCTACATGAAAGCAGCCATGGAAAATATGTAAATGGATGAGCATGGCTATACAAGTAACATTTTGTATGTATACGGTTATTTGTTTAAAAAAAATTTTTTTTAACGTTTATTTATTTTTAAGACAGAGAGAGACAGAGCATGAACAGGGGAGGGGCAGAGAGAGAGGGAGACACAGAATCGGAAGCAGGCTCCAGGCTCCGAGCCATCAGCCCAGAGCCCGACGCGGGGCTCGAACTCATGGACCGCAAGATCGTGACCTGAGCTGAAGTCAGACGCTTAACCGACTGAGCCACCCAGGTGCCCCTGTATACGGTTATTTGAATTGCATTTAACTCATACCTGTCCCAAAATGTTATTCATCTTTTGATTTGAAACCACTTAAAAATGTAAAAACAGGAACGTCTGGGTGGCTCTGATGGTTAAGCAGCCAACTTCAGCTCAGGTCATGATCATGCAGTTCGTGGATTCAAGGCCCACATCGGGCTCTGTGCTAACAACCTGGAGCCTGCTTCGGATTCTGTGTCTCCCTCTCTTTTTGCCTTTTCCCCACTCGGCTTTCTCTCTCTCTCTCAAAAATAAACATTAAAAAAATTTTTTTTAATGTAAAAATATTCTGGGGCATCTGGGTAGGTCAGTCAGTTGAACATCTGACTCTTGTGTTCAGCTCAGGTCATGATCTCACTGTTCATGAGATTAAGCACACACACACCCCTGCCCACCCCCCCCTCCCGCCCCAGCCTCCTGGAGCCTGCTTAAGATTCTCTTCCTCTCTTTCTGTTCTTCCCCTGCTTGTGTTCTCTCTCTCTCTCTCTCTCTATCTCAAAAATAAATATTAAACAAAGTAAAGATATTCTTACCTCATGAGCTGTACAGAAGTAGGAAGTGGATGGGCTGGGTTTGGCCTGTGGGTGTGGTTTGTTGATCTGTGGTATGAAGGAATTAGTGGGTATTAGAGGTGCTGTGGAACTCTTGTGATACTTGGGTTATTTGTTGAAACACTTTGGAGTTAGCTTTTGCTCCAGGCAAAGGGCCAAGGGCTAAGGGAGTCAGGCTGCTGGAAAGGAAGAATAGTAAGCTCAGAGTAGCAGATGCTGGAATCCCAGATGGGATGTGTGCCTTATGTAACAAAGATTAAGTGATCCAGCTAACTTCTGGCATGGTTCTTGGCACATCTTTGCTTTCCATAAGTGTCTGTGGGAATGTAGGTAAGATGAGAAAGGTGAACAAGGTCTGAGAAGGATTGGGCCATATTAAGTGACTGCTGTTTGGGTACCCTGTCATCGCCTTTGTGTGTGTGTGTGAGTTCATGAAGACCCCAGGCAGCTGAAACCTGGGGTCAGTAGGGCTCTAAAGTGTACCAGGTGCCAGGCAGCAGGCTGGGGGCCTCACTGAGCTGCTGGGTGGGTATTACCATCCCTGTTTTACAGATGCAGGCACTGAGACGGAGGGAAGTTGGTAAATTCTGAAAGGTCACTCAGCTGGAAAACTTTTAGCTGGGACTTGAAAGTAAGTTTACCTCTCTGATCCTAATGGTTGGCGTGTTCCAGTGCGGAGACCTGTTTTTCGGATTTGGTTCTGCTGTTGATTTTCTGTGTGAGCTTAGGGAAATTATTCTCCATCCAAGAAGGAAAAAATTCTTTTAGCTCGAGTAACTTCTGCCAAGCCTGCCTCACAGAATTATTGTAGGTGATTGAAAGAGGGAATAGATAAGAGCTCTTTGAAAAATATGGAGTACCATACAGAAGCAAGATGCTTTGTCAAGGCGAGGCCCCTCCACAGGGCACTCTTGTCCTGTCTGTGTAGCTCTCAGAGCCTTGCACCAGATCTGGGAGCTTGATTCTTTGGAGAAGCCGAGCCCTTAAGCTCTGGTGAGTTTACTTTTTTAAATGCCTGTATTAAGTGGAATAGGAGCTTGAAAAGAGAGAAAGGGCGGCAGTCAGAATGGCAAGGTAAGAATGAGCTGATAGCAAAGCCCCAGAGGGCATATTCAGACCCCAGGCTGATCCAAAGGATGCTGCACAGCTACGGGTGTGCACATGATGGTCCAGAGTTATGAAACCAAAAGGAAAGTTAAACATTTTTTTAACGTTTATTTATTTTTGAGAGAGACAGAGGGAGAATGTGCGTGCGTGCATGCCAAGCAGTGGAGGGCCAGAGAGAGACTGAGGATCCAAAGCGGGCTCCACACTGATAGCAGAGAGCCCGAAGCAGAGCTCGAACCCACAAACTAGTGAGATCATGACCTGCGCTAAAGTCAGAGGCTTAACCGATTGAGCCTCCCAGGCGCCCCAGAAAAGCTTTAAATCATGTCTGGTATGGTGATATAGCATATTTTTACCATTATTAAAGCTTTAGCATGTAGAGATGAAAGTCTGGCAATACTTACATATTTCATCTTCTGTGAGCGAAGAATAATCGCAACGTTATTTTATTACTATTACAAGCCTTTTAAAATTATCAAAGTACTCATGTCTTCCAAAAAATGTGTACGTATGCGAAGTGTATATAATACATATGCTTTAATTTCGCAGGCTAATAGATCTATTTTGTCTGTAGTTCTTAAGAACTCTAAACTGTTTTCAGGGATTAGGGATAAATTCAGTGAGAGTCTTAACACGGTTGGTGAGTAAGCATTATTGTGATAAAGTTCTGTGTGGCCCAGTGTAGACATATTAGAAATACTCTTAAAATAGCCGTCCTCTCAGGCCTCACTTTGGAGTGGAAGAAATAGTGTCGAAGAACTTCACAGTGCATTGCAGAGAGGTGGGACTGCTGAGGACTTACGCAGATTTTCAAGAGAAGTTAGGTGGTAAACAGAGAGCTACTGTATTTAAAATAAATTTGGTCTGAGAGATTTAACCTGATGAAACAGTATGGGGTCCAGATCATTTTTACAATCAAATGTTTTAAATTTTATGCACATCCAGCAAACAGGTCTTCCTGTGATATGCTGGTTGGCCACTCAATGAAAGTATCAGATGTATTGTTTCTATTTTGTTTTGTTTGCTATTCTGTTAAGAAAATTATCTAGTTAGGAATAGGGTGGGGGAAGGAGCCAACATTTTATTTTTATTTTTTTTTTTATTAGGGTTGTGGGTTTCTGTTTGATTTAAAGAATTTTTGTTTCTTACTGTATTTTACTGGCTTCTTTGTAAAATTTGTTTAGAGGGAAGCCACATACTTAGAGTTGTGGCTTTTATTTTTAGTCATCGTCATCGTTGTTATAATGAAAGAAAGATACTACCATGTTGCTTTATACTGGCAAAATGTATAACACATGTTTATTGAAAATAAGTTTACTGAGGGAGGCTTAAATGAAATTTGTCTGTTAATTATTTATATTATTTGGCCTTATCTTGGTAATTCTAGCCTGTGAAGTAGGGCTAGAAAATTGGTCGATTATGAAATAAACATACAAAAGTCCATAGCTTTGCTGTGTAACAGAGGATATAATTTAAAAAAAGAAAAAGACTTTACTCACTACAGCATCAAAACTCCCAAAATAATTTAAAACAATGCCAGAAATATGAAGAAAACGAAAAACGTTACAGTGGTGACATAGAATACTTGAAGATGTTAAACCAACTCGTTAATTTTTTAATTAATGTAATTCAAAGAAAAATCCCCGTGAATTTTTTCTGACGGAGGAGAGTGACTTGTTAAAATGATTTTGAAGAGCATCCAGGAGAATAAACAGGCAAGAATAGTGAGGAACACTTTGAAAACTAAGAGTTTGGGGGAGGATTGGTTTTGTACTATCAGGTATTTATAGATTTATACAAGAATTTTAAAGAGTAATCTGAGCCCTAGAATAGATAGAAATAGCAGTAGATCTGAAAAGAAAGCCTAACACCTGACCCAACTATGCATGAGTTTAATATATAGACAAAGGCTTTGTGTATAAATCAGGACTTTTTCAAGTGCAAGAGAAAGAAAATCAATCATCTTGGTTTAAGCAAAAAACAAAGGCATTTATTTTGTCAAGTACCTGGAGTACCCTTGGGGTGATAACTGGCTTCGGTGACTCCAGAGGAGGCTCAAATGCCCTCTCTCTCCTGACTTCGCTTGTTTCTCAGGGTTGGCTCCTTTCTGTCCTATTGCTGATGGGCTTCCTTTCTGCAGCTTAGAGGAAAAGGAGGTGTGGTTGTTGACACTTCCAGGCTTCTATTTTTACAGCAGAGGTCAAGGAAGAAAATGACCTTTCTTGCTGTCAGTATGTAAAATCTTCAGGAAGGACGCCGTGTGTGCTGCTGGGGTCATGTGCCCGTCCCTGGGCCATGACCATGGGATGCTGCACTTACAGGGTCACCCATGCCAGTTCTATCCAGGACTCCAGCTGTCTCTGCTGTGCAGTTTCACCAGAACCACACGGAACAATCAGGAGAGGAATTGTTCCCAAGGTGGGTGCGGCACAGGGTGACAGAATTACTGGGGGAAGGTGGAGGCAGAGTATTGGGCAGACTGGGGTGGCAAATGTATACTCAGTCATTAAGAACAGGATGGAGTATTCAGTAAAGGGTGCTGCACACTTGGTTAACTATTTGAAAAAAAAAAAAAATTACATCCCTGCCTTTGACCATATTCAGTAAAATTCCAAATAAGTAAGTGATTGTTAAACAGGGGAAAAAAACTAACTAGAAGAAATGATGTCAACTTTTTTTATAGACTTTGTTTTTTTGAGCAGTTTTAGGTTCACAGCAAAATTGAGTGGAAAGTACAGAGATTTCTTCCCATTCCCCACCAGCATGGAGTACATTTATTACAGTCAATGAATTTGCATTGGTACATCAGTATCACCCGAAGTCCATAGTCTACATTAGTTTTCACCCTTGGTGGTGTATGACCTGTATTCACCATTATAATATCATACAGTGTGGTTTCACTGCCCTGAAAATCTTGTGCTCTGTCTGTTCATCCCTTCCTCTCCCCCAGCCTCTGGTGACCCCTGAACCTTTTACTGTCTCCATAGTTTTGCCTTTCCCAGAAAGAATGTCATGTAGTTAGAATCATAAAGTATGTAGCCTTTTCAGATTGGCTTCTTTCACTTAGTAAGATGCATTGAAGTTTCTTCCATGACTTTTCATGGCTTTGATAGCTCAGTTCTTTTCAGCACTGAGTAATATTCATTGTCTGGATGTACCATAGTTTTTCTATCTGGTCGTTTACTGAAGGACATCTTGATTGCTTCCAAGTTCTGACAATTGTGAACAAAGCTGCTCTAAACATCTGTTTATAGGTTTTGTGTGGACAAGTTTTCAGCTCATTTGGGTAAATACTGAGGCGCATGGTTGCTGGATCTTATGGTAAGAGTGTGTTTAGAAACTGCCGGACTGCCTTCCGGAGTGACTGTACCATTTTGTATTCCCACCAGCAATGTACGAGAGTTCCAGTTGCTCCACCCACCCACCCACCCACCAGTATTTGATGTTGTCAGGGTTCTGGATTTTGGCCATTCTGATAGGTGTATGGAACCGTCTTCTTGTTGTTTTAATTTGCATTTCCCTGATGACGTATGTCGAGTGTCTTTTCATACTCTCATTTGGTATCTGTGGTGGGTTTTTTGTTGTTTTGTTTTGTTTTTTTGTTTGTTTGTTTTGGTGAGATTTCTATTCGTCTTTTGCCCATTTTTTAATTGGGTTGTTTGTTTTCTTATTGTTGAGTTTTAAGAGTTATTTGTACTGTGTGTTTTGGATACCAGCCCTTTATCACATTGTGTATTTTGCAAATATTTTCTCCCAGTCTGTGGCTGGTCTTCTCATTCTCCTTATAGTCAGATATTTTTCTAATCTCAAAGTAAAAAAAGTCTTTTGAGACATAGAAAAAGGAGGGCTGAAAAGCAGAGACTACAGGCCGATAGCCTAGTAACTGGAGCAGACTGCACACACGTGCTCTATTTTGCCTACACTGTTTTGTCTTGTGTAATTTATCTTTTGAAAATTGTGCAGGAATTTTATTTTTTTTAATTAAAAATGTTTTTTCATGTGTTTATTTTTGAGACAGAGAGCACGAGCTGGGGAGGGGCAGAGAGGAAGGGAGACAGGATCTGAAGTGGGCTCTGCGTTGAGAGCAGAAAGCCCGACGCAGGGCTCAAACTCACAAACCATGAGATCATGATCTGTACCGAAGTCAGATAGTTATCCAGCTGAGCCACTCAGGGGCCCCCGTGCTAGGATTGTAAAATAAAACTTTTACCTACAAGTCAGGATTTCTGGCTTATCTTGAAAAAATGGGAAGTGTTGGCAACAATGGATTCAGATTCCTATGTGGCAGCAACTGGCCGCGTTAAGTGGAGCCACTTCCTGTAGACGGGGCGTGGGGCTCTCAGACACCACCTCCTCTACACTCTCTTGTGCCTCCCAGCAGTGAGGTTACGTGTGAGTTGACCTTTCTTATTTTAGTTAGGTTCATTTACCTTAGCTGTCTCTTCCTCTTAGATAAAGGTTCATAAGTGTAAGTTATGAAGCAACTTCACTGAAGCAACTTCACAACATGGAGAAACTAACAGGGAGTGTATTTGCTGTCTGTGGCAAAAGGTTAATAGCCATAATATGGAAAGAACGCTAATGCATCAGAAAGAAAGTAAGACAAACACAACACAAAAAGTAAAAATAAAAATTAAAGAAAAAAAAAAGAGGTTAATTCCCAGTAGGCCATAAACTTCGTGACGGCTGGGGGTATGTCTGCCTTGTTCAATGTAGTATCTCAGTGCCTAGCTTAGTGCCTCCCACTTTGTAGTAGTCAACAAATATTTGTTAATGAGAATTAGTGATAAATGATACGTACTGAGGGTTTACTATGTACTTAAGTAAGCCATAAACCCTGTGCTAAATCCCGCCCGTGCTCCTGTTGAATCCCTCTAGAAACCTGCCAAGATAAGTGCCATGATCCTCACTGCCCAGATGGGACACGGGCCTGGAGACGTAAAGCCCCACCCAGGTCAGATTCCAACTGATACTCTTTAAGCTACTATGTCAATTCCATCAAATAGCTTATTGAAATGAGTTGAAAAAGAAAGAATACAGTGTTCAGTAAACATGGAGAACATTTCTAACCATATTAGGAATCAAAGACTAAACCCAAAATACCTCCCGTTGCTGTGGAGTTTGGGGAAGGGTCTTCATGTATTTCTGTGGGAGGCTACGTCAGCGTCCATTCTGGTAGAGGGTATTTTGGAAATTTTCTTCAAAAGTTTTAACTGTTCATAACTTTTAACCAAGGGGATTCCACTTCTAAGAATTTATTCTTTTTTTTTTTTTTTTAAAGGTTTATTTATTTTTGAGAGAGAGAGCACCAGCAGGGGAGGAGCAGAGAGAGAGGGAGACAGAGGATCCAAAGCGGGTTCTGTGCTAACAGCCACAAGCCTGACTCAGGGCTCGAACTCATGAACCATGAGATCATTACTTGAGCTCAAGTTGGATACTCAACCCACTGAGCCACCCAGGTGCCCCCTAAGAATTTATTCTTTTTTTTTCCCCCCTAAGAATTTATTCTAAGAGAAAAATTAGGGTTGATTACAGATTTATGTGCAAAGGTAGCATTATCATGTTAATTATAGTAGTGAAAAATTGGAAGCAGCCTGAATGCCCAGCGATAAAGGACTGGTAGAATAAATTATGGTATAGTCATATCCTGGAATAATATGTGGTAATTGAAGATTCTTCCTTACAGTATCAGGTGACCACTGTGTTTGTCCACTGACTCTAACGTGCTGTGTGGAGTAAAGAAAGCAATTTGCAGCAGGTGTTTGGCAGTGTGTATGTCTGGCGCATACTCACCCCCTGCTGTGTTTGCTGCTGTTAGAGGGGGTGGAGCTATAGGTGATTTTTATGTCCCCCCCCCCCACGTACTTTTCCAAACAGCTGTAAATTCCCATTCTTTGTTTCAGAGTTTATTATATTGGTAATTCTGAAAGAATATAGGACCTCATAAAGTTACCCTAGGTTGACGTACACAGTAGGTTTTCTGTGAATGTGTAAAATTCTTTGTGAAATCCATTTGTTTTCATTTTTTTCACTTCAACTTTAAAAGTCTGTCAATACGGGCACCTGGGTGGCTCAGTCGGTTAAATATCCAACTCTTAATTTCAGCTCAGGCCCTATTCCAGCGTTTATGGGATTGAGCCCTGTGTCAGGCTCTGGGCTGAGCATGGAACCTGCTTAAGATTCTCTGTCTCTCTGTCTCTCCCTCTCTCTCTCTCCTCCCTTCTGCCCCTGTCCCTGGCTCACATGCTCACTCTCTCTCAAAAAAAAAAAAAAAGTTCTGTGAACAATAACAATACTTATCTGAAAGATCTCAACAGTTCAGGAAAAAAAGCAGTAGATTATGGAAGCCTTTCTCCATGTTAGGCTAATTCCCAGGTCCATTAGCCAAGGTAATCATTGTCCATAGTTACAGTACTTTAAATGTGCATCAGGAGTTTACCCTGTTTGCTATAAATTCTTTATTAAGCAAATAGTCACCTCTAATATGTTTTAGATATCTGGATTTTCATGAGTAGTAGTCCTCGAAAGTGAGGTACCCCTGTGTTGGTTCTGTGCCTTTTTTATCAGAACCCCAGCACAGGGGAAGACATTCCCAGTGCTTATATATTTATAGAGCAGTGTTTGTTCTTAAATACCAGCCCCTCCATCAAAGATAAATACATAAATGAATAAATAAAAAGTAAAATTTTGGTATCAGAGTTGCATGTAAACACATCCACACTCTATCGTTCTCTTTAAGACTGTAACAAACTTCTGTAGAGTGAACTACTTTCATTGGCATTTGGACCTTGCCAATAAGGAAAGATTCAACCTCATTTATTTGTTTTTTCCACTCAGCAAATATTTGAAGACCTCCCCTTTGGGGAGTAAACTTAATAACTAAACTTTTATTTCAAGATATTTGATCTCGTTTAGGGAATGCTATCAACTATTCTTTGAGCTTCCCAGCGTTGTCCCGACTTTCTTAGATGTACTCAGAGTCACGGAGTTGTTCAGAATTTTTACTGGAAGGGGAAAGAATTTAATGGCTGAATTAGATAAAGCAAGTCCTTCCCTTTTTTCTCTCTTCTCCTTTACCTTATAATTGCTTGAAAGTAGTGCCTGGGGAGGGTGTCAAAAGTAAGAGTCTTGGGGAAACAAGTCAGATGGTTTTCATTATCTCTCTTCAGAGCAGTAAAGGGCGAAGGGACAGAGAGGAAATGAAATGAAAAAGCCATCCTTGTGAAACACTGGCCTAATAAAGCTGTGCTCCAGAAACCGAGAGCAACAGACGATGGCATCGAAAGGAATGCTCTCATTTCTAGGAAAGCAGGTATGAGCGCTTCCGAAAAGATGAAGAAAAATGAAAACTTTATACTCTAGGACACAGAGGCAGGATCTGTTCCCTGCACTTTCACTCCCATGTCCTAACCAAGAAG